ATCTGCTGAAAATTTACAAGTAAATCTTCATTTGAAGTAATAGTAGAAGAAACTAGCATTGACTTTTTGTTTGTTGTAGAAATTCGGACTGTCACAGAGTAAAGAATAGGTGTCTACGTAAGTATAAAAAATATATTGAAGTTCATTGTAAAAAATAAGAGTCTGTAATATCCAGGAACGAAGATGTTTCGATAGGTGCTTGGTTAGCAGGTCTTTCTGTTCATTATGTTCATGATCCTCGTTTTGATACCGAATTTCGTTCCAGAGGATGCAACAATCAATATATTATCACACATAAGCAAACACTATATTCTTTAAAGGTTAATTCTCTGAGTTTACTGACAAGTAATTTGTGGAATTTCTCTAAAATTTATTTCTGATACCATAATGTCTTGAGGCTATTTTTTCCATTAAGAAATACAGCGAGAGAATGTATTGAATGTTTTTGTATTAAAATTGCAGTTATTCTTATTCTCTTTCAGAAATTATATGCTTCAGTTGTAAATACTGGTAAGCTCTGTGAAAAGGAATATCGCATCCGACCATCTTACGTTTATGATTGGTCAGTTCCACCGAGTATGTGCTGCGTTCGACAAAATGGCTCTACCATACCGTAATTTGCCTATATTAATTTTAAATTTAACTTTGCCATATTTTTCAGAAGGCTAATATAAAAGATAAGTTTATATCAATGTGTTTTGTGTAAGAGATAGTTTGTAACTAAAGGAATTATGTTGTTGGATCAAAAGAGATCTCATATTTTGTATAATTTGTTGTGATTCATTGTTGCCTTCTGGATCTTAAATAAATGTTTCAGAGTTTTCCAATCAATTTATATAACTTTGTTTCCTCTTTTACAGTGTTTCGCAAACAACCTTTCTCGTTTTTTCTTTCTTTGTTGAATTAGCATTTAAATTCAATAAACTTTTTTTTTTGATGTGAATGGACTTTTGTTAGAGAAATCTCTGCTTATTTACTTTCAAAAATGGACTCACTTGCTGTTCTTTTCTTACTTTCGAATGATTACTTTTTGGTTGATTGCATAGGAATGAAGAAGGGAGAGAAACAAAGAAGTTAGTCAGTTGTTACTTCTTTAGTTCTAGTCTTGAAGTACTTGAAATAAGGAAAAAACAAGAAAAATGACTTGTGATGGATTTTGGTTGATTACCAGCTATACATATTTCTGAAATTTATTGTTCAAACATTCTTAGCAACTGTTACATTAGTGCCTACAGAAAAGATTCAACCCACTATATGCGCGAGAATTTAATGCTTTCAATTCAGAGAGCTTGAGATTTTTTCTTTGCAGGATAGTATTGTTTCAGAGACTTTGTTAAATGCATCTGACGCAGAATGCTCAAATAGAAGACTCTAATTCTGTTTATAATGGTACCACCCAAACGGAACTTATTCTGTGGCAGTTAATTGGTCCATTTTCAATACTACTTCGAAACATAGCTGTACCATGGATATTTGTTGGCATCCGTTTTGCTTTATCGAATGGTTTCTGGTAAATTCATAAATTTAATTCCGAAATTTTACCCTTCACTATTTACAGAGTGTAATATCTGCTAGTGGCAAATCCTGCCAAGGTAATGGTGCATATCATGGAAGCTGAAAGATAAACAATAGAGCACTAAAATTGTCATTTCACACTTGACTGTTAGCAGATTTGCGTGAAAGCTTCAATTTTTAATTCCTGTTTAGTTTTAGCGACAGCTAAGTTCTGCAGAATAGTTAATGCATTGCTTAATGAAGGATAATCCCAATTCATAATTTGTAGATGCGCCGTAGTTCACTTTAAAACTAATTATGCGAGTTAATAGTTTTATGTTTTCTGATATTTATCTTTAAAATGAATTTCAGGTTAAAATTCGCACTTGATTTCTTGTTCATAGTGCTGCCAATTATTCTTTCGCTGACACTGTTCTCAGATTATCTCTCTGTGATACTTCTATTTCAATTGGTTGCTTTGCTTTCTCTAATAACTTTTTCGCTTTGTGAATATTGCTTTATTGCACGCGAAAAACCTACATTACAAGAAATTTTCAGTCAAATGGTTGACGACCAACATTCACCTACCAAATTCATTACTTACATGAGGTTAACTTTCTTTATTTTTATGTATAAGCAATATTTCCAAGAACGTTGCTTCAATAAAATACTGAGACAATACAAATAGTTATGTAAATTTTTCTCCATTTCATTTATTTAATCATTTGAATTTTTTTAATTGAAGGAAATATATTATAAAATAACAGAAAATAGATACAGAAGTTTGCATTTACAAGCCCCAGTGATAAATTTTTACGAGCTTGTCACAGAACTATAAAAGTAAACTTTAACTAGTCGATATGGCGAAATTTTCTTACAGTTATGAAAAATATGATTTTGACATTGAATGAAATAATGAATTCATGCTTTTTTTCTTTTTCAGATCTACGGGTCTCATTGCAACTGCGGTTGCAATTCTGTCTGTTGATTTTGATGTTTTTCCACGCCGTTTTGCCAAAACATACATTTATGGTCGAAGTATTATGGATCTGGGCACTGCAGCATCCGTTTACTGTTTCGCTGTTGTTGATGTTTTCAAGGATTTTCCAAGCAGAAGCAAATTTCCATCATTGCAAAGAAGGTTTTTCTTTTCTTTTGAAGTCGAAAAGTCAAGGGAATGGGATAGCTTCAGGACACATGCATGATTCGAATATAAAGTAAGCGGCGAAATATTCCAATATTAATATTGAGTACGCTGATTTTCAAGCTTCTTATTGCATTTAGGACAATAATTAAATTTTATTACAGACATTTTTTCTGGAAACATTTGCCAAGCATTATGTTGCTGTGCTTAGGTTTCGGAAGAACATGTATCGTACAACTATTAAACTATCCAGTACAACTTGTTGAATATGGGGTACATTGGAATTTTTTCATAACTCTCGCTTTTCTCAGGGTTTGTGTTTTAAACTTTGAATCATTCCAATCTTAAGCGCTTCCGGATATTAGTTTATGATATTAATAGATAAAAATTGTTTACGTTAAGTTAGCTTGCTTGCTGATGTTAGAGACGATACTGTTAATGTCATATTGAGCGGAAAAAGTTGGACTTTAAAGCAATTTTTTTTAAGAAAATTGTCTTTGTGTTCATTTTTTCTTGAAAAGGTATCTGTGTTAACTTTCTGTTAATTACACACTTATTTTCAGATTATTGTGAAACTGCTTGGTCGTCGTTTTCATTTGCTTTTCGGTGTTATCATCATTTCCGTTTATCAGTATTTGTTGAGTGAAAAAAATTTACAGGTTTTAATTTCATTTCTTTTACAAAGCGCTTCCTTTTGAAAATGTCTTAAGCTCAAATTTGTTGCTGTATTAATCAATTCAGAATTGGCTGCTTTCGGAGGACATCAATAGAGATACATTTATTGCAATGAATCGTGAAGGCATTTTTTCCTTATTTGGATATTTATCAATATATTATTTTGCATCCTGTATTGCCAATTTTATGTTTTCCACGGGGTTACTTATTTTTCTAATGTAGTTTTTTAACTTTTTTTACTTTTGCCGATATGTAAGATCTATTTATTGATGAATGACATAGTTTCAAATGCAAACTCATGTGCATTATTATAGGGTGGAATCCAATAATGGAACAGTATTTGCAGAAAAAATACCTTAAAGATGAAACCTTAAATTAGCTAGATGACGTGTTTTTACTTGCTCACCATATAGAGTCATTATCACTTGATGGTCGGTCTTTTCAAAGACGGTCTTTTATGAATGGAATGGACATATACACAATTTGCTGTAGTTAATGTAGCGGTTCAGTCTGTATGGAAAACATCAGAAAGTTTTGATCTGTTTTTTGGAATTACAGAATAAGGCTCAAATCCTGGTTCTGCAGAACCTTCCAGCTACTTACGATTGCTGCGCTTCTTTTCTTTGCTCAAAAATTGGCTGAAATGCTTATAGGACCACCTTCACGGAGAATTGCGAATTTATCTTATATCTTAGAAGTGGTGAGTTGTACGGCACTCATGCAAATTTATCTTATGACTTTTTTTCTTCTAGCGTCATTATCATAGAAAAAATTATCATATTTTAATTCCGATGTGTCATATTTAGCTGGTCTTCCATACTGTTTATATGGCTAATTTATTATTGGTACAATTAGCTTCAATCTTCGGATGGGCTGCGCAGATGCCGCAATTTTCCATTGGTTAGTTGTTTGGCCTGTTTCCGATTTCTGTGAATTTTTTGTTTTTGAATGTGATAATTTCCATTTTTTGAGTGAACAGCAATTTTAGAGCCATGTTCTGATTGCGAAAACTGCAACGTAGTCGAAAAAAAGTATATTTAATGTAGGCTGCTGGAGTTAAAGTAGTGCTTAATTTTTGCATTATTTGCATGCTTTTTCGCTTTGTGTTTTGCAGATGAAAATCCTTTCGAACGTTTAAAGCCATGTATTCTTGATTCAGTGAATCGGTATGGCATGCCATTTTTTTTGTTAGCGAACGTGCTCACGGGTCTCATTAATTTGACAATAACAACAAGCTCTGTAACAAATACCTATCATTCGACGACTCTTATCGCTGCATATATGTTCATTTTATGTGCATTCATTCATGTCTATACAAGGTTGAAGCAAACCATCATATAATTTTTATACAAAATATTTTCTGTTACTTATTTTATTCTACATTGGTGATAATATCCTAATTGTTGCCTGTTTAAGGGCATTATTATTTCCATCATTATTTTTTTCTATGTGTTTTTCTTCCTAAAGAAAAACACATTCTGCGCACTCTCCCATCCAAAATTGACATTATGATTTTCATATTTTATTTTTTGCCCTTTTTATTGTTTTTCTCTTGTCATAGTTTTTTTTTTTCAAGACAAGAGATGATATAAGAAACATGTATGAATTCAGTGAAGCACAATAAAATTGATTAATTGCTAAAAGCTGTTTAATATTTTAGTTGAATTGATTTTATCTCTGCTCTAAGATATAAGTTTCCACTGTTTCAACCATTCCATATAATTTTTAATTTAAAATTGCAAACTAGAAATAATTCCATGTTAGCATTGATTCATGGAAATTCATTAACTTTAGGACCCATAGATTTCATGTAGTTTGGTAGGAGATATATATTTTGCTTTTGAGTTATAAATATTTGTAAAGCACCTTTAAAAAATTTTGCATTTGATGGTAACTCTGTAAACTTTCTATTTTATTTCCAAGCATTTTGAGATGATTGTATTGCACTACCAATGTTATTCAGGTGAATTCAAATCACGTCAATGGATTATTTTATCATCTTACTGCTCATTGGAACACTGAGATAAGACTGTGGTACTGATAGAATTGATTTTGCAATAAGTCGCACATCATTTGTTAAAAGCGTTCATATTTCCCATAGCATATCTAATAGTTGTTGTAAGCAGAATAGTGCGTGTATATCTATTATAAATATTTATGTATTATGTAAATTACGCGGTATATTCAGGTCATTTCATCAAACACTTAATCATTATAAACGTGTCATTTTATCATCATAAACATAAGGGCGAGAATTTAATGTCGCAACAGATTTAATTTCGATGTTTAATTAGCAACATATTTTCTCTGTTGTTAATTAAGTATTATCAAAAATTACGTGCATTCTTCATCACATTACAGAACATATGTAATATAAAGATAAATATTATTTCAACAATTCCGACTTCTTTGCATATATGTATGTGTATGAAAATTGTATAAAAATGTCATCGTTTCAAACAAAATGATTTGATTTCGTGATCTTATTGCATCAAACACTAGATTTATCCAATTTATTTAATCATTTCTTCTGCTCTCTGCCGTCCAATTCAATATAATGAAAATGTTGAAGCGATTAAGCACGTGATGAAATTACGAATAATCATCTTGAATAGAAATATTTCTCCCCCCCGTAATGTGCTAACATTAATTGAGGATAAAATGATTGCAAGTACCTCCGTTGAATAGCTCTCCATAAGAATGATTTCCTATTTTTAAATTAGCACTCTTAGTCGGGCAATACCACTATTTATTTCTTAAGAAATGCTATGTCAAATATGGGAGTAATATATCAAAGAACAAGGAATAAATGTGAACGTGATAATTTCACAATATTTCTGAAAAATTAAAAAAGCAGAAATCACATAAACGCAGATAGCACTAGCAGAGTGTGAATTTTGACATGACAGATTGATCATTCGATGATGGAATAAAAAATCCATTCGATGGTGGAATGAATATAAATGTAGATTTAAAATGAAGATTTGAAGGAGAGAAAAGATTAAAACGATTGATTTTATCACAGTTTAGTTTATGCAAATGTTTGTAAATGAATCTGTCACTATCATTGTAATAATTTCAATCAGTCATTGTGGTTGGAATCATTTTCTATATTGGCTGCTTCAAGTTGTGATAAGAAATGCGAAACGGTACCACTCAAGCAGAGGTTCTGCTCTTTCAGACAGTCGGACCAATGTCAATAATACTACGAAATATAGCAGTACCGGGAATATTTCACATTTTTTCATCTGCTCTTCATGTTAGCATTTGGTCAGTCCATTTGGTTCATAGTTTTTTTATTTATTTTATGAGTTAGAGGTATATTTATCAACTGAAAATTAAAGAATCATTTTGATAGGAAATTATGAGCCAAAATATTTCTGATATTGATTTTTCATCGGCAAATGTACTGGAAAAAATCAATATCATTATTTTGAAAACTCACATTATTTCAATTGGGAATTTCAGGATAACGTTTGTGCTCGATATGCTATTTATTGTGGTACCAGTAGCGCTAACCCTAACTTTATTTTCGGATTACATACTGCTATTATTGTTAGCGCAAATTATAGTACTTCTGGTTTTTGTTATTGTTTTAATTTGCGATCACTGCTTTATTAAACGAATAAAGCGAACATACTGTGATTTATTCCATCACATTAATGATGACCACTATTCACCCACAAAATTCGTCACTTATATGAGGTTGACATAATCACAGATTAAATCTAAATTAATAATAATCACAAATTAAATTATTAACAATACGAAAATAGAACATATGACTTTTGTGTGGAAATTCGTGTGAAATGTTTCTGAAATGGAATTACTTTCATTCTAATACTATTAAAGATTATATGGCTTACTTGCAACAGCTGGTGCCATATTATCCGTTGATTTTGATGTATTTCCACGTCGTTTTGCGAAGACGTCAGTTTTTGGTCGAAGTGTGATGGATCTCGGCACAGCTACATTTGTTTATTGTTTTGCTGTAGTTGATGTATTCCGACACTATCCTGGAAGAGTGAAAAATGTCATCCAAAAGCAGCGGTTTTCTTTCCTATATTTCTTCATTTTTTAAAGTACATAACGTAATGATTCATTATGTAAATGTTTATTTTAATTTGCATGAGCACCAATTTAATAATTCATATTGAGTTAAGATAGAATATATTCCTGATAGAGCAATATTTTATTTTTTAAACCGGACAAAAACAATTAATACCATCACAGGTAGCTTTTTTTTTAAATAGATAATTAAATCTGACCAGATGATTGACTTAACGAGCTTATTTCTCATTGTGATATCAGCATGAATATGTGCATAATATGTGCACGAGTAGAATTTATTGTATGACTGAATTGTCGCTAATTTGACAAAAAGATAGGTCGTCGATAATTGCATGTAGGAGATGAGGTCAGAGATGGAATGGTTGATGAATAAGTATACATTAATTGAATGTTCTCTAAGAGGTTCATTGCAGGTGTTGCTCTTTGAAGTCATCATCGAGTGTTGTGCTAATAATGCTAGGCATAGCACGAACAGTTCTGCTTCATTTCACTAATTATCAGTATCAAATCAACGAGTATGGCGTACATTGGAATTTTTTCATTACTCTCGGATTGTTACGGGTTTGCTTAATTTCCTAAACGAAAAAAATAGTATTTCAGTATTTTCTATAGGATTCTTAGTGTTATCATGTGGTATTTTTATCACAATTCCATACCGCATTGTAGTTCCCAATAATTTTCTGAGACAGAACATGGAAAGCAAAAATAAATTTACGAAAATTTCAGTTGTTAGTGGACTTTTTGGGTCGACGATACCATTTACTATTGGGAGTAATTATTGCTTTAACATACCAATATTTTTTAACGAAACAAAATTTACAGGTACTATTCTATGCGCTTACAGGAATTAGTTTGCATTAATAAACTAGTATCTATTCTTATACGACTATTTTTGATTTGAAGTAACATTGAATGATTGGCAAAAACTACAAACATTGAAGTTTCCATAAACTAATGGAGAAATAAGACGGACAGTTCTTCTTGAGGATTTGCAGAGACCGTAGTATCACTATTTGTAGTGAACATGAGTAGTATCTTGCTAATGAAGAATTTGAAATTTTACATTGTCAGGAATATTTGATTTCAAATAAGACAAAAAGGAAAGACTTTGTATCAAAGAATCGCGAAGGAATTTTCTCATTTTGTGGGTACCTGTCAATTTATTATTTGGCATCAGCCATAGCCAGTTTTTTATTTACCGAGATATCACATCATGATTATTGCGATCCTCTCATAAATTCTAGTGTAATCGAAAAAAGGTATCATATACGTTCTGGGGACCAGTAGTAATGTCAAAGGAAACGTTTCATTTATTATTTATCATGACTTAACGTCCTGCTTTTATTCTTGCTTCCATTAAGAACATACTTCTTTAAAAAAAAGTACTTAAGTAGCTTTACACTGCATCTCTCTCTTTCGTGTCCATCCTTGTTCGAGCGTAGACAAATAATCCTGGAAAACACTGCAGTAATACAAGAGATTATTTACTTTCAAAAGAAATATGAAGGAAGGAACCATTTAAAATAGTGGTTGGAGAATATGAATATGTTTAATATCTTCTTTAGGAAACGAATCAAAGTATGGTTCTACCGTTCCTTTCAGTTACTGCTATTTACTGCAGTAATATTCGTAGCACAGGAATTTGCTATAAAGCTTGTGGGCCCACCATCACGGAGAATTGCTAATGTGCCATACATTTTAGAAATGATAAGTGTTTTTAATTATTTACTTTCTTTTTGCTAACTGCCCAATCGTATTTAAACTGAGATTCAAAATATGACAAAAGCATTGATTTGGGACAAGCTTTTCCCATCTGTAACAAAGTCGGTAGCTAAAAATACATTGATGCAAGTGCATTTTTCTTGTCATATCATGCGATATTTTAGATAGTCTTTCATAATCTTTATTTGTTCGGTTATTTATTCATTCAATTGCTTCAGAACTGGGTTTTGCAAATATCGCACTTCCGCAACGGTAAGTTTATTCTTACAAGAGATTCCTGTTTGTTATTTTCGACTAAATCCACAAAGAACACTAGTTCTTGAATATCGTAGGAAACTGATCTGCCAAATCTTTTATTAAATTCCAGATTTGAATAAAAAGGTTAGCATGGGAAGAAATGCTCAGTCGGAAGTGCATTCTGAAACGAAAATTGTCCTAGACTATGGTGAGTGTTGAATTCCATTCCGATACACATAATTTTAATCAAATTTCGTACGTTCTTTCAAGAAATTAATCGGTAATACATGATTTTTGTGCTCTAGAAAACAGTGATACAATCGATATCAGAAATTATCAT